AGTAAATAGTAAAACACATAATAAACCTATCTTTCTAGTAGCGGCTATATGCATCTTTGCAACAGACGGACGCAGCCAGACATGTCACGTGTTCTGCTTCACGTCAGCGGTGATCTTAGCCGACCGCATCTCGTACGCATTCAGGTGGGTGACCTTGACGTCCGACTCGCCGTTGTTGAACACGTAGAGTCGCGCCTTGTCGCCGATGGCCTTGGTCGGGTACACCCTCGACAGGATGCAAGTCTTGCCGTGCGCTCCGAAGCTCTCCACCACCGAGTGGTCAATCTGCACTCAGCATCGATTAGCAAGCAAATTCACAAGATTATTAATCAGACAAATAATCCACGCAAGAATAAATCAGTAATCATCATGATCAAAGGCGCTGCAGGTAACGTACCAGAGTCCTTAGAGGGATCTTGCCACCGATCTGAGCGACGTCAACGTCGACGAAGCCGGCGAAGGTCGGCTTGTAGAGGTTGTCGGCGTGCGACGACATGGACGGGTCGTTGCACATGAGCACGACGTGCTTGCCGCCGTCGCCGCCGCCCTTGAACACCCTGAAGACACACGGCGGTCCGCTCCTTGAGGTCGTCGGACGCGAGCACCCACACCCCGAACGGCCCGACGCCGCCCTTGGCTTCCGCGCCCCGCGCCGCGCACACCGTCTGCGCGTCCGACGCGCGCCACGCCGGGTCGAACGGCTCCGCCTTGTCCAGGTCCATCACCTGGAACGACGCCTCCACGTCGGCCTGCGCTGGCGAGCCGAGCCCCGAGACCTCGAAGTGCTGCCCGGCCTTCAGGAGCGTGTCCGTGACGTTGACGTGGTTGCCGCGGAGGGACTCGATCTCGGCGACCGGCCACTGCACCAGCTGCTTGCCGTCCGGCGCGAGCCAGACCTTCCTCGGGACCGCCTGCACGCCGGCCCAGCCCTTGCGGACGTAGTCGGCGGTAGAGTCCGACTCGTTGGCCCACCCCCACAGGATGCGGCGCTGCTTCGCCGTGTCGAGGAACGTCTTGGACGCGTAGAAGTTGCCGTAGTCGTACCGGAGCCCGTCATTGCCGTCGGCGAGCGCCGCGTCAGGAACGTACGTGTCGGTGGCGTTGTCGTACTCGCCGAACGTGTAGTACTCGAACCGTGTCAAGTCTAGGCTCACCTTGAACACGTGCTTGGTGCCGCCGCCGCCGCCGATGCCCGGGGAGTTCACGGGATAGAAGTCCGGGCACTCCCACATGCCGGTGTCGCCGGAGCGCAGTGCGCGACGCGCCGGCGCCCAGCGCTTGAAGTCCCTGCTGCGGTACAGCATCGCGAGGCCCCGGTGGTTGTCCTTGGTCCCGATCACCAGCCGCCAGAGCCCGTCGGGGCCCTGCCACGCGGTCGTCGGGTCTCGGAACGCGGTGGCGTTCATCCCTGGCGCCGGCGCGATGACGGGGTTGTAGTCCGGCTTCACCCACTCCCGGAGGTACGGGTCGGAGAGGTCCTTAGGGTACGCGACGTTCTGCACCTGCCGGTTCTCGCCGTCAATGCCGGTGTACATGATCACCGGCGTGCCGTCGGGCAGCACGGTCGCGGAGCCCGACCAGCAGCCGTTGACGTCGAACGGCGCCGTCGGGTAGATCGCCGGCGGGAGCATGACCCAGTCGACGAGGTCCGTCGACACGGCGTGCGCCCACACGATGTTGCCCCACACCGCGCCCTTGGGGTTGTACTGGTAGAACAGGTGGTACACGCCCTTGTAGTACATCACGCCATTAGGATCTGCGCGCACAAGTGCAAGACAAGATCTCGACGGTTAGACTCACCAGCGCGGCAGCAGTTGACGAACAGAGGATATAGAAAGATCAATGACGCTTGCAGGCACGAACTTACCGTTGATCCAGTTCTTGGGAGGCTGGAAGTGGTAGCCGGTGCGGTGCGCGTCGTCGATGGCGGCGAGGTCGGCGTCGGCAGACACCTGTGGCGATGGCGCCTCTGCCGCACGGCACGAGGACGACGACGACAGCAGCGCGAGCAGCAGGAAAACCACCCATGCCCAAGTCCTGATCGCCATGTTGTGTTGTGGAATCAAAAGTGCTAACTGCTCGTCAACTAGTATGATGTTTCTGTATCGGTTATCGAGAAGTACGAGGAAGAAAGGCGCGTGTACGTGCAAATTTATAGTGGCCAGCAAGAGGCGCAGACAATTTATTCAAAAAAAAAAGGCGCCGACAAACTTACAGTCCGACTAGAATACATGTTTTGGATAATTATTTGGATTACTTGAAGTCGTATCGGATATACTTGCCTATCCTATGCAGTACGAACTCATTACGACTTAGCAGACTTTCCTTTTTCTGAAGAGAGAATACACCGCGGGGATTGGTAAAAAACGACGGCACTGTAAAGGTCGTGGTACGATCCTCTATTTTCCTATATCCACATATGAATTCATTATTATCCATCCGTGTTCCTTAGAGTCGTGCCATCTCTGTACTCTCTTTGTTTACCTTTCTCGTCTTGAAATTCATACAGATATCTCTTTTCTTACATTTTTTAAAAAAGTTTATATTACTCCCTCCTCAAGTCCCAGTTAGTTTACTCCTCTAACTAAGTTGGTTCAATTTACTCATCAATAAGATTTGTCATTTTCACCTTTCTATTAGATTTTTATGCTTTGATAGAACACATCGTAACTTTTGTTAAATGCATTGTGTATTTTCATCATTATTGTTCATATTTTTTTTAATCTCTAGAGTTAACTTATTATTAGATGTCATAAACCATCAAAATAATGATGAAAAACTCGTGTATAACTTAATTTATGATATATGTTATTACCCTATAAAATTTGCATCTAAAACTCAATAGAGAGGAAAAACACAAAGGCAAATCTTATTAAAAGGTAGACCCGGTCATTGGAAATGGTTAGGACTAGACGTGAGCGTAATAGGTTTAGTGTCTGTTTGGATTCTAGTCTAAAGTTCTAAACTTTAGATCTATAAACTTTAGCCACTAAGCTCTAGATCGTAGAGCTGTTTGGATTCTGAGCTAAAATTTAGTGCTAATTATTCCTTTTTCCTTCTTCTTGCTCACGTCCTTCTTGCTCCACCAACAAATCGGCTGGACACTCTGCTTGTTCCTAGGCACCGTGGCCACCCCAACACCCTCATAGCTGGCCACAGCGACAGCCAGGGCAGGGCCAGGCCAGCGGCTGGCAAAGGTGGCCATGCAGCAACTGTGTGGGAGGCCCAAGTCCTCCAATGGTGGCTAGAGCATGTCAGGAAGAGACTCGTGTAAAGGAACGCCGAGAGAAGGAAGAAACATGGAGAAGGAAGAAACATCGGGAAGAAGTCGCTGCCACATGTGTTTTTTCGCAAGTATCGACCAATTTCCCTAAGTGTGAAAATATTGGGAGTAAGGATAAGAAGATGTTAGAGAACTTTTTTCAGTGCCGTAAAAAAACCAAGATTGGAGTTATTGTTAAGACCATAACTAAGACTAACAATTTTTGAGAAGTTCATTGACGTAGAGGTGTAATCAAGTGGCTCAGCAACAGGTAGTAAAACCATTAAAACAAGTTTTCCTAAACGGAAATGATATGCCACGGGCGCGTCCGTCCAGTCTAGACAGACTGCCCGCGTCGCATGCGCCTACTCGGCACGCCCTACCCGCGTTGCCCGGGCCGCTGCTCCGCGCGCCTCACTCGCGCCGCTGGGTCCATGCGCCCCGTGTGCCCTTGCTCGCTCCCGCCAGTGCTCTCATCCACCTCACCCGTCATGGGAGAGGAGGCAAGGGAGGCCTGCGCCTGCGCCTCCATCCACCTCGCGTCGTCGATAGGAAAGGAAGCCCTGCGCTACCACAGTTTCCCACCAGGTCGGCCGTGATAGTTGGCGACGCTGTGTTTCAGGCGTTTTCAGACATGTTGCAATCATATGTTTGAAGTGTTTCAGTTGTTTCAGACGTATATTTCAAGTGTTTCATCTGGATGTTGCATATGTTGCTATGGCTATATATGTATGTTTCAAGCGTATGTTTCAAATGTTTTAGATGTTTCCAGACTTATGTTGCAAGTGTTTCATCTGGATATTGCAAAAGTAGATCTGGATGTTGCATATGTTGCTATGGCTATACACGCATGTGTTCAAGATGATGTTTCAAGTGTTTCATCTATTTTTAGACGTATGTTGTAAGTGTTTTATCTGGATATTGCATATGTTGCAAATGGCTATGTCGTAAGTGTATGTTCCGAATGTTTCATCTGTTTCAGGTGTATGTTACGATTGTTTTATCCGAGTATTACAAAAGTAGATCTGGACGTGGTTGTGGAGAAAGCCTAAGCCTAGTGTGGTCCAACAGCTGCGACTCCGTGGTGTGGCGAAGACGGAGGCCGCGGGCTGAGAGCTGCAAGGATGGGATGTCGCGGCAGATCGATCGGGTAGGCACGACGCATCGGGCGGGATGGGGAGCAGGCATCCATTCTGCGTGCGTCGAGCGCAGGGGCGGGAAGGTCGGTCCGTGGGCGTGCGTCAGGCGCAGAGCGTGCGTTGGGTGCGGGTGGGCGTGCGTCGGGTGCGGGCACGGGAGTAGCGTCCGCCGGACGCTGGTCGCTCCGTTTTCTAAATAAACATCTTTTGTCAGTGGCGTAGACAATCTCTCGTCTCTCGGTAAAAAGTTGTAAAGCCCATGACCACAATTCCAAAATCCGAGTCTCTAGATTCGACCTACGGCCACCCCTGGAAACGGCCCGAAACGTGAGAGCCATAAACCAGAGGGGAAGTCCAGCAGAATCCCAGATCGAACTCTCACATCGCACCACCCCTTCCTATTTTTCCTCTCCCAAAGAAAATAAAAGCCTATTTCGTCTAAGCCGGGCGCACCGTATCGTTGGCTCCGTCTAGGGTTTTAGCCCCTCTCGCCGCAACCTCCCGTCCCCTGCCGCCGCAACCTCCCCATCCTTCGAATCCCCTCCAAATCCCTAGCCCCGCAACCCGCCGGGCGACGAGCGGCGGAGCCCGCGGCCGACATGGACCGGTACCAGAGGGTGGAGCGGCCGCGGAACGAGTCGACCATCGAGGAGAACGAGATCCGCATCACCGCGCAGGGCCTCATCCGCAACTATGTCTCCTACGCTACTTCCCTCCTCCAGGTGCCTGAGCTTATCCTCGCCGTCGTATCGTATTGTATTTAGGATGCGCCGTTCCGTTCGAGTCCCGTCTCTGTCGATTCGAATCGGAGTTTTTTTGTTTTGATGGAACCGCTGCCAGGTCACGGTGGTTCTCGGCCGTTAGGCTCGAGAGGTGGATTCAAACATCCAAGTTTTGTGGGTTTTGATGTGTTAAATTTGTATATGCTTACCCCAACTGCGGTGATTGATGTACTACAGTACTAATTCAATGTACCACAAATTTGGCATATGGGAAGGGTATTGGTGGCCTACTGATTGTGTTTGTTTCCATGCATTATACATGTACGATGAATGATAGTTTTACATGAACTATTGCCTATTTACTACTACTATTTAGTTTTTCTTTTAATTCCTATTACTAAGCTCTTGCTTCCTTTTTTATTTTGATTATTATATAATCAGGAAAGGAGAATTAAAGAGATTGTGTTGAAGGCCATGGGACAGGCAATCAGTAAATCTGTTGCTGTTGCAGAGATTATTAAGGTAATACTCCTGTTCGCTCTCTATCGTTGCATAAAGGCCAACCAATCAACCACATATGACAAACTTTCTTTGAAACAGAAAAGGATCCCTGGGTTACACCAGGATACCAACATCAGTTCTGTCAGCATCACTGATGTCTGGGAACCCATAGAAGAAGGCCTTGTCCCGTAAAATTTCTACTCGCTCTAGATTCTTTTGTATCCACTTTTTTTTTGTGCAATTCATGTTCCTAACTTTAAAAGGCTTCCTCATTTTCAGATTGGAGATGACTCGGCATGTTTCGATGATATCAATTACTTTGTCCCCTAGAGAGCTGGACAAGCAAACTCCTGGGTGAGTCAGATGTGTATCTTTGTTAATTCTTCAGTGTTAAGGTGCCAGGAATGAGTTTGTTTTGTAAGATATAATAAGTAATTTTGCACTATATAAATCATTGAGATATTAAGTATTCTTTATATAGGTACCAAGCTCCAGTGTATGTTGAACAACCCATGCAACAGCAGGCGCCACCACCGCAGCGCTTTACTCGCAGACCACCAGGACAACAATTCCAGCAGCTGGAGTATGAAGGTATGGCAGTGACTATTCACACTGATTGTGGTATTTCTGTTGATTATCTAGCATCTGATAATTGTTGCTCTGTTATAGACTCCTATGCACGGGGTCGAGGAAGAGGGAGGGGCCGTGGGCGTGGAAGGGGTTGGGGTAGAGGTGGCTATGGTGGTTATGGTGGCTATGGAAACAACCAAGGTGGCTATAACCAAGGCGGTGGGTATTATGGTAATCAAGGTGGATATGGTGGCTATGACAATCAAGGTGGGTATGGTGGTGGATATGGCTACAACCAAGGCAGATACGGAAACTATCAAGGTACTGAATGGTGTCTTGGTACAGATATCCTTGATCTTGTGTGATGTTTTAGGCAATGACATATCTTGATATGTTGACCCAGAAAATGGTGGATATAACCGAGGGAGAGGAGGTGGTATGCGAGGAAGAGGCAATTGGGGTTACCGTGGAGGTATGATTAATTGACTATTGCCCTGCATAACAGACATGTGCTTCAAAAATTGAGTACTTAAACTTGGAGTCATGCTTCTCATCGACTTTACCTTCTTATTTTATTAATTTGTTGATGATAGTCAATCCTCTTGTTCTGCTGAATTGTTGCTCCTTTTGGTAACTGTAGTTTTGGACCTTGGCACAGTGCTAAATTTGATTGCCCGAGGACGTGTTGTTTGAAGTACTGTTGCATCCAAAATGTAGACCTTTTTTTACTGCCAAAATATTATAATAGTAATAATATTATTTGAAAACAGCTTGTGTGCTGTGCATATAAATATTACATTCAACGAGCACAACCTTAATTGTTCAATCATTAAATTGGCTTGCATTTTGAACTTGGCTTCCAGGCTATGAAGGTGGCAGGGGCGGCGGCTATGAAGGAGGCAGGGGCGGCGGCTATGAAGGTGGCAGGGCGGGCTATGAAGGAAGGTGGCAGGGCTATGAAGGAGGCAGGGGCGGGGCTATGAAGGTGGCAGGGCGGCGGCGGCTATGAAGGTGGCAGGGGCGGCGGCTATGAAGGAGGCAGGGGTGGCGGCTATGAAGGTGGCAGGGGCGGGGGCTATGAAGGAGGCAGGGGCGGGGGCTATGAAGGAGGCAGGGGGGGCGGTGGTGCTCCTGGTGGAAGGGGATATGGTGGCCGTGGAAGGGGGAGAATGGTTGGCCGCGGGCGAGGGAACTGAGTGCAAGCGGACTTTTGGTGTTTCCTTCAATGCATGCCTTATCAATACCAGGGGAAAATATAAGTTATCTGAGCATTTCATGTTGGAAGCAGTTCAGTTACGTGTGAGGTCTGTTATTTTTTCCCTGGGCGCGAGGTTTGGTTGTGAGCATAATGCATTTGCAAGTTTTATCATGTAAGTCATCTTTCAATGTTCCTGCTGCCAGAGGTTGTTTTTCCCAATGATCGTTGAGTGCTGAGCATGCTGCCCTATGTTCATGCCTGCAGTATTAACAGATGGCAACTCTTGCCCTGTGTTAAATTGTTAATTCTATTTGTGCAGTTTGCTTTCTTCAATTAATGCATCCATGAAGATTGGCGCATTTATAGCTTATATTATTGACCTAGTTTCTTTTTTAGCAAATAGCGTGCGTGAAAATATTGGGCATATAAGTTCTTTTTGTATAACTAGATATATACCTGTGCAACGCACAGGTCCTGAATTTTTGCTTCCTCCGATAGAGACGGATTTGATCTTTTTCATAAAATAATAAAAATTTTATACTTTCTGCATTGAGAATCCCAAATTATTTAAAATCCATTCAGTCCTTATTTATCAAGTGAAACCATATTTTCTTTCTATTTACTCCCCACATGTTTCTTCTCTTTTTTTCCGCTCGAGCGATCAGTGATCGACCAATCTGAGTAGCCCTCTTATAAATATGTCCTTTTTGCGTCTCGGGATCACAGGAGCGTTAGAAGCAGCTTGTGTGTCTCTAGTCTACGTAGCAACTCCGGGGCTGACAGGGTTAGCAACTCCTTGATGCACGATTGCACATCATCTCGTTCGCTGCATGTGCTAACCATGCACTTCTGGGTATATGGTGATACAATACTTTTAAAGAATGTTGTCGTTGGCAACGACGAAAAGAGCCGAGACGCCGCCTGCTGCCGCCGCGTTCTCTGTCCAGCGGAGTAGCCAGGCAGGCGTCCGACGATCGGCTTCGTGCGGCAACCACAGGGAGCTGGGACGTGCGTCTCGCATGCGAGGAAGGCATCAGCGATTGATTATTCTTGCCGTACAGGAGATGCACCGTTTTTTTAAGTTATTCATACGGACCGTTTTCAAAGAGAGAAAGGAATCATAATTCTAATCCGTTTTTATATGAGCTTTTATGAAACTCTTAAGATTTAGCATGATTATATATACGTGGGAGCTCTATGATGTAATTACCAATAATTAGAAGAATAAAGAATAGTCTCTATCTTGTGTCTATTTGTTCTACTTTCATCTATTGTGTTGATCACGAGAGACGGGAAGAGAAATGTCCTAACAGCTGGCGACATGTTTTATAACACGTTATCAGCACGATAAACTCTACGTCAACATCTCCGTTAAAGCCGCCGCTGATCTTTTACGCCGACGCTCATGCTAATGTCCCTGCAGCGACTACTTCGACGGTGTCGACATCCTCAACGTTGTTAGCGGAACAGATCTGCTACCTCTACCTGCAACTAAATCTGCACTGTATCGACATGCATCGTCGTCATCAAACAGGCAGATCTACGACAACCACTGCCATACGCAACACGTGAGGTAGATCAAATTGACATCATGGATCTGGTACGAAAGAACCACAGCTTGGAGATTGTGTCTGTCCCAACCATCGAGCCGGGTTTTGCCCTATTTTTTCTACCGTAGTAGATCAAATGTACAAGCAGTACATGCACGAACAAGTACAAGCAAAAGCATGTAGACTCGTATGCTTGCACACGTATTCGTTTGTCTGTCGTATAACAGAGTTTGCGTCTAGGTTTGATTAAAAAAACAAAAAGACTGAGTACATACAGAGCTTGTGGCCAGATTCAAATTGCAACTGTTCGCTTGCTCGTAAATGATCGTAAATTTCCAACCGGGAACAGTGTTTTTCTTTCACACCAAACCAGCCAGCAGTAAATAATTCACGATACGATACGACCTCCCGAATAGGAAGGCACCCAGCACTAATCGGCCACCGCATTGGCCACATTAATTACCCTCGTATGTCCTCGTTGAGTCATTGGCGAGAGATCACACTTGAACGTGGCCATCAAGAGTAGCCACTACGCTCGCACGCGTAAGGGCCCGTAGACAAATCTGTCGTCCGCATGCCACCGGTAGGTTCACGTGTGACACCGTGACTCACCAGCCAGCAGACTACACGCTGCTTGCCACCTCTGCCCACGGCTCGCATGGCACTACTGCTCCGTCCGCAACGAGCACATCACCCTTTCTTTGTAGGACCTCGGGTTTTTTCAAATGGCTTGAATGCCACTGCCCGCCCTCGCACGCGACAAGTAGTGGCGGTGCCGCAATGGATAGAAGAAAGCAAACCCGACGGGGTACTTATGGGTTATAAGGGTCGAGGCCGAGCAGGCCTTCGGACCAACCAAACTGAATAGACGAAAGAAATACGGGTTGGAATTGGTCTAATAAAGAAATAGATCGTGTTGCAAATAATTTAAGAAATAAAACCAGAAATTGAGGAAGGACCTGTAGATCCGAAATTCTTTGAACAGTCCCTGTTTCCTGTAGACACTATTTATAGGCCTGATATTCTTGGAGAATAGCGCCTATACTTTCTGGAAAATGCAGATTTAGAATATTTTAGCATGAAATTTAATTAAACCTAGACCTTCAGTTTGTACATATTTACTGCATTTCTTATACCCGCATGTATAAGAGATTGTATACAATATTAAATCTGTAGTTTAATTATTGTTGTTTTGTCTAGCTTTATTTTTCCAAATTAAATAGTAGATTAATTCTGAAAATTTTCTACACTTTGAAATTAGTTCTGAAAAATATGCTAGCGCAATATCATTATGAATTATATGGTATAAGGTATATGGTCTCTCTAAATCGTACAAACCTTAGACTTATCACATTTGAGAGGCTCGTATTTGTTTTTCCTAGCATATTGATTTTTTGGGATAAATCAATAGTTGGTATTGATTCTGAAAATTTGCATATACCTGTCGATGTTTCACCACCGATAGGCTGCCACGGGGGTACCCGGAGCAGTATGTTCGGGCTTCAGCGTATGCGGAACTCGACGGTAAACGCAAGAGACAGTCAATTTATCCTGGTTCGGACCCTCAACCGTAATCGAGTAATAGCCCTACGTCCAGTCGGCGTTAGCCTTTGCGTTCGATTGATTGTAAAATGTTCTTCTCTCCCTGATCTAAGGAACCCTGCCCTCTTTTATATAGTCAGGAGGCCAGAGTCCTAGTCGGTTTACAATGTAGGATTATAGGGTAGTATTATTACTAGGATTACATGGGAGGAATCCTAATCAAACTAGAATTCCTCTCTTCCTTGCGGGGTATCCCGTGGATCCCGCATCGACAAGCTCCCGAGCACTTCATGGTTGAACCCTGGAAGCCTCGTCTTGCTCCTCCAGGTCTTGCCGAACAGGAACAAGCGTCGCCCGAGTGCTTTCTTGAGTGAAACCATGTAGCGTTTCCTAGAATCTTCGAGTGGTGTGTGCTTTTTTGAAGAAAAAGTACACCTATCTGGGTGTAGCCTCTGAGCCTCTTGCTATTTAGAACAAGGAGCTGGAGGGTCTTGTCTTGAAATTGCTCCGATTCTTCATCGAAAGGCCCCCGAGCATGTACCCGGGTTCTTTGTTAAAAAGAACTCGAATATAGCTCGGTCCGGGTTCTTTTTGTCGTGAGGCCTTGAAGTGGTCTGTCTTGAAGAAGTCTTCTTGGTGACGCGTGCTTTTTCTTTGAAAACTGCTGTCTTGAAGAAGTCTTCTGAGTGATGTGCGTTTTTTGAAGAAAAAGTGCACTCACTAAGTGTAGCCTCCGAGCCTCTTGCTATTTGGAACAAAAAGTTGGAGGGTCTTGAATCTTATGTTATTTAAAAACTCCTGTCTTGAAGAAGTCTTCTGAGTGATGTGCGCTTTTTGAAGAAAAAGTGCACTCACTGAGTGTAGCCCCCGAGCCTCTTACTATTTGGAACAAAAAGTTGGAGGGTCTTGAATCTTATGTTGTTTGAAAACTGTTGTCTTGAAGAAGTCTTCTGAGTGATGTGCGCTTTTTGAAGAAAAAGTGCACTCACTGAGTGTAGCCCCGGAGCCTCTTGCTATTTGGAACAAAAAGTTAGAGGGTCTTGAATCTTATGTTGTTCAAAAACTCCTGTCTTGAAGAAGTCTTCTGAGTGATGTGCGTTTTTGAAGAAAAAGTGCACTCACTGAGTGTAGCCCCCGAGCCTCTTACTATTTGGAACAAAGAGTTGGAGGGTCTTGAATCTGAGTTGTTCAAAGAACTAGAAACCTCTCATGTTGCAGCCCCTGAGCATATATCTGGGTTCTTTTATTCAAAAAGAACTCAGATACAGGGTCTTAGCATATTCTCTAGTAGTCTGCTGTTGTCAGATGTAGTTGTATGGTGGTCGTGTTGTTTCCTCCATTGTAGGATCACTCCTTGATAGGTCGAGCGTTTGTATGGCTTTTATCTACGTCGTGTAATCAACTCGGTATATGTAGATCATTGTCTTGACAAATCTTCTTGATTTATCAAGTGCTTGTCTGGCTTTCGTCTGGGTCATGTAAACAACTTCGTTATATGTAGATCGTTGTCTTGACAAACTTTCTTGATTTGCCGAGTGCTTGTCTAGCTTACGTCTGCGTCGTGTAAACAACTTGGGGTAAGTAGATCTTTGTCTTGACAACCTTTTTGTTCTTGTTAGTACTGAAAAGACTTAGGACCAACGATCTCAAGTATCTTCAGCTTCTTTTTAGCTTTTTTGCTTAACTCGAGATGTGGCCAGCATCTGACACTTTCCCTGG